CCTCCAACCTACTATAGCGATGGCCTCCACAATACTCCACATCAAGTCACACAATTCACAGTTTCTTTCAGACCTTTCTCAAGCTACGTAGGATTTCTGTGGATTTCTCACTTGTGTCAGTGAGATGTATGCGCCAGGGCCCCCAGGGAGAATTCACCACGTGGACACATCAGTGCGTGGCGTCAGGAACCACACGTGCCCAGTCCGTGGAGCATGCTGGGGGACCAACATCCCCGTGGTCAACGACAAATCACAGCGTGTGTTTTTTGTATATATTTATTCAAGCAAATACAGGACAATGAGGAGGAGGTAGCTATAGTTTATAGTAGCTATTAAGTAGGACGTTCCTAGCTAGGAGGCAGGATAGATACAAGGAAGCTCCCCCTGCCTGAGGGCGCGGGGGAGCTTCCTCGAAGAAGCGCTCGCACTAATGATTTGGTTCCTAGACTTTTAGGGAAGCTTAACCTGTTTAAACTAAAAATTGTGCAAAGGGTGGACCTATCATAAGACAAAGAACATGGTAGAACATGGAAGAACAGACTACTGTAGAACCTAATCTAAAGGACGCGAAGACTCAAGAGTTCTTCCCGTTCTTTACGTTGCTCGGGGGTGTCATCCGATCATGCAGTCTGTGAAGGATCTGATCGGCAGCGAAGAGATCCTGTCGGGGTGTCAGGTGGGAGATGCTGTCGCACAACTCGCGTATCTCATGGCAATCAAACACAGAACTCGAATTTGGATGAATTTGGTACAATGGTTGTGGGGGGGTGTCAACCGAAATGAGTCTTTCCATCTAGAGGGATCCCTCCTCACTACTTGCGTTTCAGAGGAGTGGAGGGTCTTTTCTGGCATGTATCTGGATGTATCTGGGTTGAGGCTTTTGCTGTTCTGAGCAAAGCCCACATGATATGTTTTGACAGCTCCAGCAAACTGGGAGGCTCAAACGCAGCAGGTGAGCAGCAAATCATCTGGACCAGGTGGTGCCTCTCATCACATGTCATCGCCATCCGATCTAAAGGAAGATCAGGCACAAATCAGATTCAGTCCCCTCCAATAAGAACAAACAACAAATCGACTTTCGCCTGGCTTTGCATGGTCCTGGGTCTGCCTCAATCAAAGTTCCTGCTTCTGTAGTAATGACAACGCCGTATGCCAGGGTGGGTGTTGAACGAAGCTATCTGGGGGGGGGGACTTCACAAATCTCACCAAAGAACACCCAAGAATGCATAACATGCGAACTTGTCACTCCTTCGTTTGTTTTCCAGTAGCGCAAAGCACTGCAAAGAACACACACTCACATAGAGGACGGGATCCAATCGAATTAACTTTTCACCCGCAAAAGACCAGCAGAATCGAGTCACGGACCCCTGTGAACTCATTTTTCTTGACTTCTTAAGCCGTTGGTCCAGCAAATAGCCTACCCCAGTGGACTCCAAAATACAGCCGAATCCATCTCACCGACTACAGTAGAAGACACCCAAAGAACCCAAACCGTCTTTCATTCAGATCTCTTCGTATTTCATTCATGTTCAATTCTTCAGCAATTGGAACGTCCATGTTCAGATTCCAAGTGCTCACGCCAAAGACTTCGTGGATTGACAGACCTGGCGCTGCACCTCTGCTGCTTCTGAGCTAAGCCATTAGACGCCCGTGTCCAGAAGCCTGGATTCCGCCAAAGTCTCTGCTCGATCGCACGTGTAAGGAGAAAGCATGTTCTGAAAACATTCCGACAAGGTTGGCTCCACCATTCCTGGTCCTCTTGCGTTCAGAGCATTTCAACAGAGGTCATTCGAAGGATTCTAATGGCAAGATGTCTGAGTCGTCTGAGTCAGCTTTCATACCTCAAAATCTCCAGCGCACCGGAATCCTAGCAATCACGTCGCCATGGAAGTTCAAGAACTAATGGTCTCCAATTTAAGTTCTTGGATGTTCTTGGAAATGATGTCATGCCATCAAAGCACGAACCAAAAGCCGATCTTGAAACCACTGTGACATACTGTGACACATTCCCTGCCAAACTGATGGGCGCAAAACTGGACTGAAAACAGGCGTCGGGGAAGGTTGCCTTCAGCAGCTTCCTCGTCTCGGGTGAGACCAAGTGAGAGGTCTCAGGTCCGGGAGCGCGGTCAGACGCCGAAGAGGCGCGCATGAAAGCACTCCCAAGATTGGAATCTATACCTATCTAGAATCCTGTAGAATACATCAGAATACCAATATACCGGATTCACTATCATACTCTATCATATGGCGAAACTGATGGTAACATATGGTAACCATGTTTTGCATGTTGTATAGATTTTGTACCGGTTCCGCTCGCTTCCCCGTGAAGAGTGGGACGCGGTCCGCTCTCAGCCGATGGCGGCGCCTGTGCAAATGGTCGGCGATTGGGTGGAGACAAATCGACCGAACACTCAACCATCTAGAGTCCGAAAGAAGATCAACACTGGGCTTCAAAGATCCTCCTATACTCACAACTACTAGAGGCACCCCCAATTAGCTGGCCACGGGAATGACTTCGAAGAGGACCCAAGGTCAATCACTGTAATTATATGTAATTATACATTATAATCACACGAATCGAGTCGATTCCACAGTATGCGTTTCTTCGTTTAAAACAGATCCTCCTACGCACTGATCCAAAACGCACCAGTGCCCGGAAGGTCCTCTTCCTTAGCTGACATCTTTTCTGCCGCGAAGACAAGCTTGTGCATGTCACGAAGTGGATATTTTTCACTGAGCCGTCTGGTGGATCAAAACATTGACTTGGGTGAGCCCCAAAACACATTCAGAAAGGTCACAACAATTGAGGGAGTCTTATTTGTTTGGTATGGTTTTAAGTCCTCTTTCTGATCCATCCATCTGCGAACGATCACACACGTTCGCCATCTGGTCGTTATCGGCCAAACCAATGAGTGGCAACGAGACCTCAAGATGACGGGTGTGTGTGGAAGCCATAGGTTGCGTTGTATCAGAACTAATCAGCCCTTGATGAAGCGAGTGCAGGAGAGTCACTACCAATTCCACCTTTGTCATCACTTGGGCACTGACTTTGCATATATTGGCCAGGTTTGACTTCCAAGAAGCAGTCCAAAATTGAACTACACATGAAGATCTAGTCCAATTAGAACTCCTGCGCTGGACCCTGGTTGACAGGCAAACAAAAAGTACAACAAAGATGTGAGGGCCGGGGATGCCAAAGTTGGACAGGGTGTTTGGTCTGTCGACCTTGTTGTTTCGCAACGCTGAATTTCTCTGAAATGGATTGTATGCATATGGATGGTCTCCCCATGCGAGGTGAGATCATGTCCCTACTAAACACAAGCATGGATGATGTGTTTGTGCTGGTTCCTGGTCAGTAAGGGAGTCAACTTAGGTATATTTAGGGCTTGTGTTAGGCGTTACTGCTGGAGCTCTATGGTAAAGCAATAATCGAACGCTTCTAACACAGATAATTTGCCATAATTTGCCCTTGAACTTCAAGACAAACTGCTGGCAGGCACAATAAAGTTTGAAAGTGAGGAGTCTTCGAACTAGGTATGTGGGGCGGGGTCATCTACCTACGATGCAGGAGTGTAGTACAGTACCCACAGTAACTTTGTAAAACCCTCTCAATGGCTCATACCTCATATCAATCTTAGAGTACTTTTATGTTGCTTGGATTGGAGCCGTTCATTTGTTGCTACCACATTCAACATGTCTCGAACCTCTCATCAGCCCTCAAGGAGTCTGGCTTTGGCACCGGCACACCACATAAAACTCTCACAAACAGCAGTTGAACAGCTGGTGACACTGTCGGCGTGGGTGTAAAAGCTTTTGGGATGAGCATCCATGGCCGCCGTGGGCTGCAGCCATGCCAAGCCTTCCACCATGCCGTAACAATATGCCAAACAACTTCTTTCGGGGAATGGGACAGAAAAACTGGTGAGAACACGACTGTGATTGAACGACGCACCACCATTCTGGAATGCTGAAAACACCTATATAAGCCTATGCCATGCTGACAACGGTCCATCCCCAACTGTGCACCTGCTGCTTCTGAGCTCTATGACTTGACGACACAGGTTGGACGTGCCACAACGTGCCACAACTTGATTCCAAGCTTCCCAAGGTTGCAAAGAATCCGAGCGACTTATTGCTTCAGTTCAATTCACGTGCCCTGTTTGAAACACACATACTATTGTACACGGTTTTTGGGCAGAAACACCAAGAACGTACCCAACGAGCCAAGCATAACATTAACACGTCCTCTTCAACATCTTCAGGGATGGCGATTTCTTGCAACTGGGGCCAACACACACTTCAACGGTTTGCATGGATGTTGCAACAAACACAATTTCAAGATCAATCATTGGTTGGCCCTTATGACACTTATATTACAAACATCTCGAGCAACCTTACGCGCAGCAAACTTTTCCTTACGCCAACCCTCCTTATGACCAAGCTCCTAACCAAAATGTAAAAGAGAGGTTTGCGGTTTATGGCATGGCTCAGGTGGTTGTTACATTAAAAACACGTTTCACACGCACTGGTACAGGATCTAATAATCTTCCGAAGAAGTCTTCGCCAGTGCACAAGAACATCCAATGCTCTGGGACACTTGGACTCCGATTCCGTTTCGCTTGCCCTGAATGTCCAGTGACAGTGCTTCAAACTTGTAGGAACCACTAAAATCACTAAAATGTAGAGAATCTTGACGGATTCTAAGAGGTTTACAATCCAATATCGGTATGCGGGGGTTTATTGTTAATCAAGATTCGACATTACTTACTAAAACCGTGTACGTGTACTTCCTTTTGGACGTCCAGGATCCATCTCTCAGCTGCCTTAGGCGGCTGAGAGAAGGACAGTGAGACGTGGCACGAAAACCGCCCAGCTATCAGCGCCGTGGTCCGTCGAGGGCGTTGGGAAGCCGCCCCTGTTGTGGGAGGATTGCGCGTCTGCGTTGCGCAGAAAGAACGGCAAGGCCCCCCATGACGCTCCCGCGACAGCGTCGCGCGGCATCACTCTTTGTCGGCTGTAAGAAGACTTCGATAGTCCTGGGGCTCGTGTGAGCTCAGCTGGACCAATGACCTGGCTTGACCAAACTTAACGGACACGGACAATCAGTAATTAACATACTTTAACAGCACCCATAGACTAGAACAAGTTCAACCATGTTTAATTGATACATGTGATAGAACCCAGTCAGTGGGCGCTTTGAAACAAATTCGACGGTTCTGTGAATTGCCTTGAAGTCCTACTACAAAATCTACAATCTACAAAACCAACAAATTCTGAAACTTCCCTGAATGTCTCAGGGAAAGTGGCGCCCTTGGGACTGATGAATTATAGATATCGGTGCACTGGAAGTGCAGTTCGGGTCACTGTGGAAAGGACGAGACTTGGACTATCACGCGGCTGCATAACGACTTCCGGATCACCAAACAAAGCACCGACCTGTCACGACCTGTCTATGCTTGGGCCAGGCTTGGTGTGTCACCTGGCGCTCAATCAAAGGTCTCTGGGATCCCGAGAACGCGAAGCCCCTGGATCCTTGGAGCTACAAGGATCCACCGTCCCTTCCAAGCTCGATGTCTCGAGTCTCCACCGTCCGTGTCGTTTGGACAATAAGTCTTCCACGGTCATCATCAAACGCGCCAGTCATCATCTCTTTCGCCCACCGTCTCTGCCGTCCTCAATGTGCATGTCCGCGAACTGTGCTGCGGCCTCATCCCCCAAGCGGATCGCCTGTGCGGTGGGGCACCGACAGAATGGTGCACCGATGGCGACTCATCCTTCGATTCCAACGGTGGCCCAAACAGCCCAGTCGAAACACGGGTCGGTGCTCTGGTTTGTCGCATCTGAACGGGCTTTGTAGAATTTGTACATTAAATTGAACATTGAAGACACCCTCCAGGACTCCAGTGCTTATACGCGCTTAGTATAACAGTTTACTGTCGATTGAACAAATCCTCCAGCGACATGGCGCTCTTTCACAACTGGTGGATTTCTTTTCTCTCACCGTATCAAGACATATAAAACGGTCGTTTTACCAGCGTTCGGCACCTCATGCGGCATCCAGTGCAGTGATCAGTACTCACTGCTAGTGCGTAGGGTGCAATTAGGCTTTCGTGAAGTATATTGTAGCCTAAAGCTTGGATCTATCCTATTACCTGTAACGGTGGATGATGATTTAGTAGAGGCCTTATCCAAAGTTTAAATAGTGATAATTGTTTACTGACTGTTACAGGTAATAGGACAAACCCAAACTATAGCCATAATTGGGCTTTGCCAGACTTTTTTGCCAGGACCACGCAAGTTGCGACTCTTTCTTCCTTCTCTCCGCAACTCTCACCGGGCGGCCTGAAGAAGCTCACAAAAGAGCTTGGAACTGAGACCCATTTGGCCAGTGCCAACACAGGTGCCTTCAAACAAGGCTTGTGCCTGGCGCCGGAGCGGCGATGTGGACTGATCTGGATGTCATCCAGCCTAGTGTGGCTTCCAGACTCTTCCAGTGCATACTTGATATTCACTTCCAGTCATACATACCTCTTATTCCCTCTGCACTGAGCATCAAAGAATATGCAATTCTTGCCAGTGGATCCACGAGAGAGCATGGGGTGGGCCTAACCTACATTCAGAGGAAGTAGTTAAAACATGTTAAAACCACAGTGGATGCTAAATTGAGAACCCCCCCTATCAAGGTCAACAAGGTCCGGCTTTCACTTGAATAAAAAACAACCCCCCACCAAGCTGATTCTTGAGGAGTGAATGGAAGGATCCCCTCTGTTCATGCCTATAGGCTAGGACCCATCTTCTGTGCCTGGAACTCGGAGATCTCGGGGGCGGCCTCAACACGAGAGGAGACAGCTAACATCTCAGCTGGTCAAGTTGTGAGACACATCAGCAACGAAGGGTGGAAAGGTGGCTCAATAATACCTCTGAACTGACGCCTTGTTATTGGACTCTGGGCAACAGCCAAGACGTCGAATCTAATTCTCCTTTTTTCATCATGAGTGTTCACGACAATCATGATGTATGTCAAGGGTCCATGGAACTTTGACCCTTTATTGTCTTTCATGGCCTTCAAAGACCTAATTTTCAACTATTGAACTCATCGACTTTGAGCCATGCTTCAAAACCTTTTCTGACACTGATGGACTCAGGACTACTCCAAAGGTAGCTGCACCACCCTTGGACTCCCGGAGTGCAGATCCACACGGAGGCCAAGTCGGAAGCACCCGATGAAGCACCCAGCAGGTCAACCCCATCACCGTTTGCAGTAGAAAATCCCAAACCGAATCGGTGGGCGCCTTTGCAGTCCGTACTGTCCCAAAAAGCCAGGTTCAGACCCACGCTTGCTACATCTGATCGAATGAGCCCGTTTGGAGCCCTCCAAGACCCTGGCCTTGCTGATCATGTCCAAGAAGCCAGCCTGCAGGAGGAGTTCGCCTTGGTTGACGCGAGCACAGCTGATCATCCAAACAACTGATCTATGTGTGGGCAAGCCTATGGTGCAGGGACCATCAGATGTATATCGAAGGCCAATGCAACCCCAAGGCCCCAAGGTCCACCTGGAACCTACGGGAAGGATTCAAGCTGCTGCAGCTTGACAGAATTGGAGATAAGCATCAAGATGAGTGGGACCTATAGTTACCCAGAAGAATTGCCGATGGTCACTTGTGGGGGCAAATTTTCGTGGAAGAGTCACAGAATGATCTTTGCCGCAAACAGGCCTGCCTCTCGAGCTCGCAAAATGTCCGTGTTGCCCTCTGAAATTACTGAGTCAATCGCCAAATAGAAGAACAAAGCCCGCCACGGTTGCTGTCGTAAAGAGGCCTTCTCAATTATCAGGACTGATACTTTACAACGGCTGGTGCAGCCGGCAAGGCTGCACAGTCAATAAGGGCACCTGCTTGGAAAATGTACGGAAAACCTGGAGGAACCTACTAGCGATGGCCTCCATCCTACTAGGTTCCTTAAGGTTTTTTCCGTAAGTGACTCATGGCATGTTTCTTGTTGCTCCGGATACCCCGAAGAGCCCCACCGTCTATCACCCAAAGTCTCGCAGCTAAGCCCCGAACCGCCTCCACCTTGTTTCGCCAGTGCCTGGCAAGGGGTAAGCTGGTCGGAAGAACATGCACCCGCAGGAGCTACCTGCCAGTATTTTCTGTCTTGCAAACACTGTTCTTCTTAAACTTCGAAGACAGTCAGTCACCCCGTGTCGAAAATATCTGTCCAGTCTAGCTGCAAAAAGAACGTTGTGCCATCTCTCCAGACATGAAGGATGTCTAGTTGGGGCTAATCCCAAGACACGGAAAAGGATCCGTTTGGTCAGTTTCAGCAAACGACCATCTGCCAAATGTTGAAACGAAATCACTGGAGAAAACATGCAAGCTGGAGAAAACATGATCAGTTCATAATGTTTCACAGGTATGGTGTCAGCATGTTGAGCCCACGGTCAAAGAGATGAACAGAACCTCCTCCGTTGAATCTTTGATGAACGCTCACGCCTTGAGTTGAACGCGTGTAGAAAATAACTCTTCACCCAAAACGACCATCCGAAAGCTAAGGCACCCTCGCAAATGACTCTCTACAAACCAGTGGCTTAGTGGGTCCATTTGAGCCTGGAGGTGCTGTATCCTCTCAGGCTATCCCACTGGAATGGGCACCCATCTGAAGTTGTATAGTTGTTGAGTGCACTCTGTTGAGACATGGATGTTTGCAAACACAACTCAGCCCAGCCGGCGTTCTCTTTGTTTTTACACAACTATATATCATTATATATCTACCGGGATCCCATTTGACCTCAATTTTGATAGGAAAAGCCCATATTTTGGCTGGTTGGTGGTCCAAAAAACAGGTCATTCAGGTTCCAGTATATACACAAAGTATCCCAAACTCTCCCCAGCAAATTCACAAGAATAATATAGGTTAGGGTCGGGTCAGAGACTTTGGACGATCAACTCCGAGGTATCGCCTCCTCAAAGAGGTCTGCCCCGGGAAGTGGCCTGGACTGGGATGAAACGGAGGCCACCGTCCGCGGGAATCTGCGGTGATGAAAACACCATCATTCATCAGCTATATAGTGTATCCAAGCCGGTGTAGGGGCACAATGTGAATACATGTGAAAACAATTCCCATAGAGTTCCTATCGTGCAGCAAATATTGGAAGCAAACCACTCCAACTTGGATCCAAAGTCTGGTTCTTAGAATGTACAATCACTAGGTGGCAGTCCCAGGCGTCACAAACACCGGTGGTTCACCACGCCCACCTCCAGATGTCATCGCGATTTCATGGGGTGGCAGGCACTCAAGGCTGGTTTTAGATTTGAACACGATCTGCCTGTAGGCTCTGGACTGAGTGGCAAGTTGGCTCTCGCTTCAGCCCAACTTCAGCCGAAGCAAAGAGGAAACCCTGGGGTCACCTCCTCAAAAATTCTTCAACTGGCAACAAACGAACATGAAACAGTTCCAATCACCTGAGTAGGTAACTACCCGCAAAACGGCTCGCTGTTTAAATAAGAACACCTGGGCTACCTCCTGGAGAGGGAACCCGAAGGGAAAGGAAACATCAACATCCTCAATGCCACAACGAACCACACCTGAGGCTGAATGGATTTTAGTAAATCACATAAAATGACAATGTTTCCACCTCTACCCCGCTGAGCGCCCAAAAATCACCCGCCACCACACGTGTGGCCTTGAACGCTCCTGGCAGTCTGGCAGTCAACATCAGGATGGTTCATGGGTCCATTTGTACGGCATCATAATGGTTTGTGTGATTTGTGTGAAGAGAGCCTTCCCCGGGGTCCCGGTTTTTCCCAGTGTCCGAAGCGAGGCTGCCTCCACCCGCTTTAGGGAACCCAACTCTCGCGAAGATAACATGAGTATCTGGAGCAAAAAGGACCCTTATGTCTTATGAATGATGCATCGCAAGTTTGCAACCAAAAAGAAAGACAGGTCTTGCAATTGAGGATCTCCCGAGTTCTGCATCAAATCCGAGGGGTTGCATTGATTGCATTTTCCTGCATGAAGTCATGAGCCGCACAGAAAGGACATGGACTTTCATCTGGCATCTGTGTTTGGTATCCATGTTGCGGTCGCAGTCCGGATTTGGGCAAATGATGTGGATCAGGTGCAGGTGGGAATGGATGCGGCTTGCAAAGTCATGGGGAAGTTTGGCGAACACAAGGAATCTTGTCTTCCTGGCTCTTTAACTTACAGGGCCTCTCATATCAAATGTTAGCTCGACCAAATCACAGCAAATGATCATCGAACGTAAAGCGCATAAGAAATGGAGACAGTGCGCCTCAATTGCACCCAGACCATGAGATCTGTGAGCATTTCTTATCTATCAGCATGTTAACACTATGGATCACCATGGCATCAAATCCTCAGAAGCAATGAAGAACAAACATTGAATCGAAATTGAACACCTGCTATCTGCTGCGTATTTGTCCATTCAATCCCCTGCTTCGGGGCCTGTTGCCTAGGGTGAAGTGCAAATAGTTGAACAAACAATCTCCATCGACCCATTTTCCGTCCCACTTGTCGCAAGAAAACCACTCCTGCCGCGAACGAAATCCCATGGATGCAGCTGCCTGTTTTTGCGCTGCGGAGGCGACGGCACATCCTTTTATGGTGCAAGAATCCCATGGAATCAAATCCAAAGAGGACCCTCCACAGTGCCTTTGGAACATGTGATGACATGTGGCATGATATGACCTAAAATTATCAGTTAAGTTGTACTATGTTGTACTCATTCCGCGTTCGTTCTTTTCTTGAAAGGGAGTGCGTTTGACACTTCTCGGCTCGAGGCAGGCAAGACGGCCCCAAGGTCTCCACTCCACCCTTTAACTGGTTCAATTGAGTCAAAGGACAAAGGACCATCCCAAGCCCCTTTGGGGGAGCTGCAAGCAATCACCCTGAAGCAAGAATTAAGCCAAGCAATACCTTGAAGATCGGCAGAAAATCCATCCCCCACGCTCCTGGCGTTCCCCTACGGTTGTCTATTTGTGTCTCCAGCGCGTGACGCCCGTCACGTGATGCGATCGCCCGCCTGTTCCCTTGCTTGGCGGCCCCGGTAGACCGCTTGGATCCTCGCAGAGGCCTCCTCTTGCGTTAAGTCCTCCACCCTAAAGACCTGGCGACGTGGGACAAGAGATACAACGGGTGACCCAAATGCCAAGGACACGGGAAGCAACAAACCAAAGCTTTGGAGAAGTTTGACATGCGGAAAATGCTATTATGATGGTGAAGATATGTTCTAGACTCTAGACGATACACATTACACGTGTCGTGAAACGATGTATACAATGTATCTATCCTAGCTCGCGAAACATTGCTCGAGGTAGCACCAAGACTGAGACGCAACATGCGATCAAAGATGATCAAAGTAAATACCAAAGAAAGGTGTCTGTCGAGAGAAAGGACAGCCATTGGGAGTAACTTTGACTTTACCCCACTTGCTGTTTCTTTTTATACCTGGGAGATCTCATGGATTCGCCGGCATCGATTCCTGGAGCCCTCTTCGCGTTGGCTGCACCTCCCGCTGAATTCGTCCCTGGAAGGCAGCCTGAATCCTCTCAGCAGCAGCCTAGGGGCGAAAAGGTGGAACATATCGAAATTTCTGGCATTCTATCAATTCCATCCATCAAAACATCGTCACCAACATTCACCAACCTACATCTGGGTCACCATCCGGATGGTCGGGCATTCGGCATTCCATCCATCAAGCCGGCCGGAAACACTCGAGATCAACCTCTAAACTAAAAGGATTAATTCATAGGGTAAGGCCAGGATCCTAGATTTCAAAAAAGTCATTTTAAAAAATTGGAAAAGTCAAAGTCAAAAACAAGTCAAATGGAAAAGTCAGAAACAAGTCGAAAACCAGTCAAAAAAGTGAAAAATAGATCACAACTCGAAACAGTCAAAAACAGGTCAAATCAAAGTAAAACACATACATGAGTCAAAAAAGTAAAAAAAGCAATGAAAACTCGAAAACGTCAAAAAGTCAAAAAAATGTCAAATACACATCAAATAAAATAGAACACGTAAAAATTAGAAAACAACTGTCGAAAAAACATGTCAAACACATCAAATTTGGAAAAACAACAGTTAAACAAGTCGGATCTGGGCCAATAGGTGTTTTTCGACTTTCGGAAACTTTCTGATTTGACTCTTTTTTGACTTTGACTTTTGGCACTGACTACTATGTTGACTTTTCTTGACTTCTTTATATATCTTGAAAACAGGCTCTCTCCAATGAAAGAATTTTATAACTCTAAACTCAATTACTTGATGGGCAACTTGCAGGGACATGAAAGGATCCAAACTTGCCTTGGTACGACGACTTGATCGACGACGCCTGTTTGCGTCTCGATGACCGGTTCCAGGGGGAAGTGCCCGGTGCCCGCGTCTTTGGATGTACGGATGTAGCCAAGAGCATACCAAACACGTACAGAAAGCCATTCAGTGGCTAAGGGCTAATTACATTCCCAACATGAACTGACACTACTAGTATATGGAAACATCTCAAAGGAAACTGGGAGGAACTATATGATTAACTATGCTTTCAGCTTGCCGTTGATCAGCAGCATGTGATCATGTGGCCATAAATGTATGTCTTTTGGGAGAGCCGTCCATCAACTCAGCACAGCGTGCCACCCGCGCCTCCTGCGACGACCTCCGGTCGAGTCCACCAGCTTGGCGAGCCTCGCTGTTCTTCGGCGAGTGGACTCCCATGTGATCATGATGGTCACCTAATAACAGTCGCCAAACAAGTAGTTTCGCTACACATTCAGAAACTGCATTTGTAGAAGCCAAGCTAATTCAAATCAAATCTGTGGTTTACCATGGTTTACCAGAAACTCTCGTTTGGTACAGTGAGTCCCACAATGGGATCATGTTGTCTTTAAAATGTGTCGTGGCTGACAGACAAAATGCAATGAATATACAATCTTCTGATAGTTCGTTCCCCTCGGTTTTGAAAGTAGATTGCTCAAATTCCCAAAGCGGGTGAAATACCACATTCAACGAAGTCAATCCCAGGAGGCCTCAAAGGAAGTTAAGCTAAGCAGTTGCTGGTTTGAGCCTGCCATCTATACCGAATGATCTTAATGCATAGACCATTTCGGCCCCTCTATCTGATCGGAAACAATTGCCAGTTGCCGGCCAAGTGATAAACCAAACTTCTAGTTCGCAGCCAGTTGTCGCACCATGAACACACGCAGTTGCAGATCCCAGTCTTTTTTGCAGATCTGCTGCAGATCCTCCTTTTTGGGAAGTGAAACTAATACTGTATGGACTCATTTGTTCCTGTAGGCTGCACATGATTCGGAGAGATATAAAATACTTGAGTCCTTGAGAGAAGGGGGTGGACGAAAGGTTGGTAAGCAACGACGGGTGGGTAGTGTAGGAGCAGCTGCGGCGGCCGCGGCAGAGGCGGCAAACCACCAGGAGACCAGCAGCACTGGCACACAGCAGGGCAGCAGCAACCCTGCAGCAAGTCAGGCAACCAGGAGCAGGAAACCAGCAAACCATAAGCAACAGGACAGCAGTACTTGATTAAATGAAAATAACAATATCAATTAATCCTGCAGCAGCAAACAGTTAGGTCCAGCAACAGCATAGGAAGCAGGAACATATGTTGGAACACGCATGAAAGAGAGCATGAGGACGAGGATGAAGCTCAGGAAAAGAACGACGAGGAGGGAGGATGCTTCGAAAGACGTGGGTGAAGGTGCGTTGCATGAACTAGAGGGGTACTTAAAGTGGAGAAACTCAATACGAATCCAATCACACCAGGCCAAGGCACAATTGAAAGGAACTTGACCTGTTCTAGGGGGGAGTTGAATAATTGCCTTTCGGAACTCAAAATCAGGTGGAGGAGGATCCTTGTCCCAAAATAGAGCTATATATCATGAGCTATATAATATTTGAACTCGGGTTGAAGGCACAACCCGCTATCCGCCTCTGCCAAGCGCGCTGTCGCACCGGTCCGCCTCCTGACGCACCTGGCGTCCGCGATACACTGCTTGGATCTTCTCTGCGGCGGTGGCCTGTGCGGAGAGAGAAGGCAGCGAGAATTTGTGCGTCGCACAAAAACATGCTAAAACATAACAATAATAACATATAATTGGACTCCTTTTTCGGTTGTTTGAATCCGAGAAGGCCCTTTCAATCCGATATGATCCGACTTTAGTTCAAACATTGATTTCGGAGGTACGCGAACCCGCTTTCTGCCGCAGTGTTTGTTTTGGTTGGTTCAGTTCGCCTTTGCAGTCATGACCACCGCCAACTAACCTGAATGCCAACATCATGTCCTCGCAATCTGATTTGGTCTACAAACTGGGCGGCCTTGCCGAGGTGTGAACGATTTGGGTACGGACTGTGGGTTGCTCGCCACAGCCACTGAAAATCATGTCAAATCATGCGACATTGCCAGACTGAAAATTGCAGTTTTTTTTGCAAAAGGCCCAGAACATCTCAGACCTCTTATGCCCCCAAATCCTGCCTATTGCGACTCGATCTCTTAAGTGACGGGGACTTCCTTGTCAACACATCTTGTCGCGTTTCTTGAACCGCCATGAAAGCCAAGCAAAAGCGAGGGGTGAAGCCCGTTGAGCCAGCCTGCTCTGCTCTGAGGTCAGGTGATACCGGAGCCTGTCCAAATGCTGGGAAAGACTTTCAATTGGAGATGAACCACACATGTGTTCGTGAAGACTATATATGGGGGCCGTTCTTTATTTGGTTGCAGGGCATAAGGCTGAAAAGCCCTTGCGCTCGCCCTTGCGCCTTCTTGCGCATATAAGGGCTTTTGCATATTTTGACTGTTCTAATTGTTTTAGTATCAGCAAGAAAAAGTGGCGTGCCGGAGCAGGAATGGCAAAAGTAGTAGTAGTAGTAGTAGTAGTAGTAGTAGTAGTAGTAGTAGTAGTAGTCGTAGTAGTAGTAGTAGTAGTAGTATAAATATTATATATAGCGGTGGGGAAGAACCTACCCAGGCGCAAATGCTTGATCAAACTTTCAAAAGCAAGGTCAACTGTCTGGTGTACCCTCCCTCAGACAATCATAGAAGCTGCACAGGCCTCACTTGTAGAAGAAAATGGTCTTCCAGGGGCCTATGTTCCACTCCCATGATTGTTTCAGGGAGTGTAACAGCCTTCTCCTTCGCAAAGCCGTGGCCAAAAAAGGTGGTGTCTTCCCCTTGGTGTGGTTCAATGCTTCACATCACTGATGAGCTGAGACGCATGGAAATCCAGATGAATCGAGCTCAGCATCAAATGCTTTAAGTGACCTTGCTGGGCAGCGATGTTGGGATTTATTTGCCTAAATCGAGTGTATACCAATTTATTTGTCTTCATACATGTTCATCTTAATGAATCAACTGATTCGGGTCCAGCAGGCCACGACGGGCAGATCGGCAGAACAGTGTACGTCTGTGTAGGTACACAATATATACAACAGCAGGAAAGTAGATAATGAAATCAATATATGTTATTTTTTTTGCCTTATTGTCGATCCCATTAGGGAACCAGCATCTTTCCAAAAGTCACTTAAAACAACTGAACTACGTCCCCAACATGCCTCAGTACAGCATGATTCCCACAAATGGCCTAGGGAATCAGGCTCCTGAGGATTGGATTCTTCCTTTCTTCAGCACACCTATTTCAAAGCGTTCTGAAATGATGTTCCTTTAACTCAGGACTCGTCCTATCAAGTGCTTTCAGTATTGGACCTACAGACTGACTACAGGATCTAGAGGTCGTTGGCGGATCACCATGTAACGAGCAAGCAATTGACCGACCAGTCTGGTGATCCATCGGAAACATCTCCGGACACCCATGTCCAACCCACTTGAAGTGCGCCTCAAGCAGTTCCTCGCGGACCAACCGTCCGGCAAAGGCCGCTTGGATCCGCTCTGCAGCCTGGTGCGACAGCAGAAAGTACTGGCATAGCTGTGAGTCAAAGATCTGTAGTGGTAACGAGAAAAATAGCCCAAACTTGTGGGTTTCCTATGCATTCCCTTTTGCAATACGTTTCAGAGTATGTCAGTGACACATCCAAATATGTTCCAAACCGTGGTGGGTCACTTTGTGCTACTCCTCTCATTTTGATGCAGGTTGACGAGGATTGTGGTTCTTCCATGTCATCCTGCGTTTTCGAGGTTTCTCATTATCGGTCTCTGCTTGAGAGAATGATATTTGCAGTTTGCACTCAAAGAGAAAGGGAACTGATCCGCACTGTTTCTCAGACAAACCCAGGGTTCCAAGAACAATATACCCTTGATATTGACTTAAGACTATGCACATCAATCAACAACTCGCTGCAAAAGGAGCATTTAAATTTAAACTCACAAAAAAAAGAATGCAAATTCACAGTACATACCCTCCCTCAACAGAAAGATTGGACACACTTAGGTTGATGATCGCAAGGACTGAGTCAGTGAATGAAGCTCCACTTTAGCGATTACGTTGCCAGTGCAATAGACCTCGACTTGCAGAACGGAAGGAGTGCTGGGTCAGAGAAAAGAAAGGTTTAACAATCGCAGTAGCCCTTTATCATGCTTGAAACAGTTGATGCAGGTACACAATGCGGCGTCCCGCATTGCTTCACCACGAACTGACAGTGTCTTCGTTGGGCAGTGTCTGTCAGTCGTGCACTGCCCCCCTGCATATGATGAACGACTCACTGAAAGTGAATTAGAAAATGCTACAACCTTGGAGACAGGTGTTGACACACACACACACAGTCTGGCCACTCTAATGGTTTCTTACTTGCAGAGTAGTCTTGCGACTCTTGTGCATTGACTGCGAGCGGTGCGGCAATCGACGTGACAACCAGCACCAACGAAATGGGCAGCGGGCAGACCAACAAAAAATAACTCTTGTCTCCCATTGGCTTCTCTTGCTGGGTAGCTGGGTGACTCAGGAATTTCATGTATGCAATTTTGGGACCACCTTCTTTCCATGCAACGCAATTTCACCACACCCAGACCAAGTCCCAAATCCAATAAGATCATGCTCTCTCAAATGGACAAGGTTTTGGCACGGAACTTTTGAAGAAGAATCGAACACCTTCTTAGTCATAGCTTTAATGTTTAAGTGACCTTCTTTCGAAGACTTAATTGACCTCAAGAGGGGCATCTGACGAGGTCACAAAAGAAGGTGCTTGGTTTCTCCCATGTTGTAAAGGTCCCTCCAGGTCCCTCCTGCCTGCTCCGGTGAGGAAACAGAAGCCATCGCTTTGGTCACGTCCGCCTTCTCGGTGCACTGGACAAACAGATCGTCTTGGGATGCAGTTTCTGGTGACTCGAATTTCGGAGTTGTTCAGGAATGCAGCACAGAGCCACCAAACACATGAAGTCTGTTGCCAGTTCGGCATGTGTCTGCAAGTTAGTCTCAAGTTCTACACGTTCAGTCGCTTTTTTTCAAACGAAAAAAGGATGCGTTTATCGCCGGAAACGGAACTGGTAGAGATCGAAACATGTTACTGCGAATCAGTACTGTAATCTTTCGAACGAATTCTGTATTGGCATTGGGTTTAACGTTGTTGGTATCACATGAGTTGAAGCGCACCGAACACGTGGAGGCGCAAATCCACTTTGTATCATGCACCTTTCGGAATAGTCTCAAATTGATGGAATCGTATATATTATTGTGAACACAAGTGGAAAAAGGAATCCTGGAAGAACAAGAAGTGACCAGCAATACGAAGCACCACCTCCCCAAAAATCAAGGGACAGTAAAAGAGTGAAAAAAGCACATTGCTCTCTGGTTGTGAAACTTCGGGTCTGCTGGTTGAGGGATCTTGGCAACCTGACACAAAGGCTAGAACAAAGGTTCTTTTTGTGAGAAAACGACAATCTTCGTGTCAGTACCTTTGACCAACCCAGTGAGTCTGTCCAGGATCTTGCACAAGATCTTGTTCTGGGCCTGTTCTCATCAAGCCCATTCACCCTGAACATCACCTTGCTTCAAAGGTCGGTTGAATAAGACCAATGTCAAAAAATAACGGGTGCCCGGGTGCCCACATGAGTTCCATCTGATTTCACCAAACCAACTGCGTGTGGTTTCCCAGCTCGGACCGGCCTGTGCGCGTGCGTTGAGCCCCCGCTGGGCTGCTTGGATCCGACGGGCCGCCTGGACCTGGTTTGGGGCGGGCCACGGCCCAAGAAGGATGCGGAAAAAAGAAGAACACCAGCCTTTGACTTTCAAACCTCGAGGCGGAGAAGTCCCTCATGGTTGACCCTCTTTGAGTCAGGATGGCCTGTGTGTCCATCAATTGGCCAGCCACCGCATTCGACTTGCACAAGCACCCCGAGGAAGTTGCATCACCAAAGCAGCGCTGAACTCTGTCGTGATTGAAAGACTCAACCAGTTTGAACAGGTCACACATCTGGAAATGGCAAAACCTATGACACTTTGGAGATCTTTGGAGTGTTTGGGACTACCCTGAGCATCTCTAAGGCACTTACTTCATTCTGGAGTCTCAGCTGATCCACACTCCCTACCTTGATCATATGTAATTATTGCTTACATAGAATGCCTTGTTTGTCGTGGATTATGATGTGTTGACTGCATTGAGAAGGGAGAGTACTGCACAAACCACATGAAAGCTCATGTCTTGTGCTGCACCGGACAATCAACCAACCCGAAGTCAAACCATATCGTTGAAGACAAGTGGGCCAAGTGGGCTATGTGCGCCACCCTCCCGACCCTCAAAGGCTCTGAGATCAAGGCCTCTTCTTCAGAGTACTGGCCTCAAACCAAAGGCTGCAAAGCTCTGTGTTTGAGCCACTTTCATGTCACATGAGGTGACAAGAAACGAAACCGGCTACAAGTACCAGGGGCGTACTAAGTATCAACAAAAATGCGATGCAGGTCGTTCTCTGCTCTTAAGCGGCTATGAACCTCCTTGCACCTGCAATCCCAATACAATACGATGCAATGTACATATGGATATGAATTAAATAGGGAGAACCCCAACCAATGGCTTTGGTCTATCGTCATGCTTCCAAGGGGTCTTTGGGTGGTGTGGGTCGACAACACGCGTTTATCTTGCAGTGTTCCAAAAGCTATGGGTGCAAGCTTATGACAGATCAAAATGGGCATCTTCGGACACAACCTGCAACTGAGACGTTAGAGTACATGAGACACGATATGGTATCATACGGAAAAAAAAACAAAAACATGAACAAAAGCTTATTTGTGTCTCCTGAGTGGATTAGTGATCCGATCACTCATGATGTGGTTCAATTAAATAGACCCAGAAACCCCCGGGTCCTATTTTCTTTTGGGTTTTACTATGCGTTTATATGTCTTTATACAGTTCCATACACTGACGCGTTTGCCAGTGGGATTGATGGTAACTACCAGCGCCATACTACCCCAAAGTGGCATGACTTCAAGGCGAAGCTGGCGAAGCGCTGGCTGTCCCTCTCAGACGTCCGGCCCTCCATCTCACCGTCCAAGTACTCCTGAAGGGCCGAGACACAACATAGGCATCGACTAGACAGGATCATACCTTGGTATGGATATTGATACTTTCTATGGAGGTTGGTACTAATCAAAATCCCTAGTATGGCTATATATATATATTATATATCTGATCATCCCTAGTATTAGTATGCATATTTATATATGATATAATATACCTAAGCTTATTAGTGTGGATATTGGTACTTTCTTTTCCAGTCCTGTGCAAACAACGAAGGTTGCTTCCCCATTGATGGTGTCTGTATGCACAGCCAATGCAACAAAGGTCCACCTTTTCAGGTCCATGAAGCAGTACCGGTGTGGTTGACATGCAGTAGACCCTTTGTTACTAGTAGCTTCTTGTCCCTAGTTGTACGGCCAGGAGCTACTAGTAGCGTCCTTGCCGTCCTTGCTTTTAGTAGCGATGCCCTTTGTTGCTCGTAGCAGGTAGCATTGGACAAATACAAAAACAATTTGGGAATATACCAATTGACATGCAGAATGTTCCTCTGTTGGGAGAATCTTGACTGTCTTGAGCAGTGGTTGCTACACCTTTTGCTGAAAACCTGACAGGCGCTGTTTCCTTTCTGGCAGAATCCAGGCCCCCACCAAAAAAAGTTTGAACAAAAGAACATGCAGTCATCGAAGAATATTCGACTTTGTATCCTGAACTCGGTGGCCCACAAGAACTGAATGCATCCCAAAGCATGCCCAGTTGTGGTTCTCGTCTGCAAGTTAGAAGTGGCTTAACGTGACTTTTTTCCAAATCCAGATTGTAGGGATTCAACCCACCCAACCACCACGCTCAATTCTCGCTTAAACCAGTGCTACGCCCCACTTGGGCGTACAGGTCACAAGTTCCTTTGTTCCACAAGAATAGTCAGGTACCAATACCACCACCTTCATCCACTCTCAAGGTTCAGATGGCCAAACGCTTCTCAAAATGGATTGAACAGTCTCCCTTCATATCCCTTCATGTGATTCCAAAGCAACCTAATAGCAATGGCCTCCAGGGCCTTACTCGTGTCATTCCAAGCAACCACCGTTCCCGCTCGCTGCCGAAGGCGATGGACGGACCCTCATCCTCGCCTCCAACGAGAGGTCGGCACACTCGGCAGCATCCGCGTCGCCCCGCGCCACGGCCTGGCCGCGGCGAGAGGTAGAATATGCGTCTATGAGTGTTGAGGGAACATGGTCTTGGCTAGAATGTTATGTATATATATGTATAGTATTGTAACATTGTATACTTATTTGTTTTCGACAAAATGGACTTACTCAGTAACATGAAAACCTCTTTAAAAACAACTAGAACGTCTAACATCTTCATGGCCCACTGATGAGGAGTATCCCAAAGGTCTGTTCAAATTGAAGGGATGTATGGTTGTTTGCTTTCCGCATGACCTACTAATTACAGTTAGGGTCCTGTTACTGTAAAGTTGAGACATGTTGAGAACTTCTCAAGGTCGCGGTGTTCTTGAGTTGCCATGTTTTTTTAAAGATAAAATATATAGAACACATTACAAAACACATTGATATTAGAATGATAAATACACTGAAATATATTCAAAACAAAGTATGATTCGCTTTAAGAACTATTGGAAAATATGGAAAACACAACAATACGAAACAATGAGACAACATCAATATATGATGTTTGTGATCTCCAAACATAAGACAAATACCAAACAATTCAAACAAACAACACTATATAATCATGTTAATGTTTTGCAGCGTGTCTTATTGGTTTTCTTACACGTCATCAAAACGTGTCGTTTTATGTCGTATTGTTGTTCATCATATTCCCTGACACTTGAATTTACAAATTGATTTCGTATTTCTGGGCAGGAATATGAATGACAATCCCTCAAAGCTTGGTGACTTGTATCTCTCAATGCTATAGCCAGTTGATCTTCATGTGGAGTGACTATACACTGGCATACATTGTATACTAGGTTTGACAGGTAATATAGCAAGCACTATAGTAAGCCACAACCACATGGACACGGCGATCCGGCTCAAGACTCACTAGGGTGGCAATACACTTCGCATGACTGCACGATGAAGTCGACGCTACACTTTCTTTGCAATGGCAAATAAGAAGGCAACACAAATTCATTCAACATCCAATTACAACACGTGGGCCCACGTGCAAGGGCTACTCTACATTGAAAAGGTCTCCAGCTTTCCTCAGGAGCCTGTTCCTGAGGCGGTATTTCAGGGCATAGCCGCATAGCCTACTCAATCCTAATCCCTCTCCTGCAAAGAAGCAAGGGGTCTGCAAGGGGTTCCAACTCCCCCCCAATTCTGCCAGTCACTCACTCATGGTCACTACAGCTGTCGAGCGGCCTCGCAAATAGCCCAGAAGATGGGTAAACCCATGCGTTGCTCTGAGCTGTTCTCGCTCTGGCTCAGGAAGCCCTGCCAAAGCTTCTCCGCCTGGGCGCAGCGCTGAGGCATGAGTTCGAAGCGCTTCCTTTCAACAGTGGAAAGCCATGGGATGAACATGGGGTGCCATGTGCCGAAGGAATTCGAATTGGATCTCTTCCCTTCATCGATGACTTCAGCTCTGGTTCCACTTCGTCGGACACTCCACTATGTAGTTCTGCATATTGCTTGGCCAACCAAACCAACTCTAGATTTCCACAAGATATTCCATGATATTCATCACTTACATAGTCTATCATAGTCTATCCAGTTCCTGATCACAGGAATCTTCCCCCAACAGGGCGTAGCCGCATAGCCGGCCTTGCCATGGGAGATCTGGTGGACCTTCTGTATGGCTGTGACCTCAAAAAGGCACCGATGTCATGGCTGTTCTCTCGCGTGTCATTAGCGCACCACATGTGAGGCACCGTTCATATCCATGAGGTCCATGAGGCTAAGGGGTTTGCCATGGTGTGGCAGTATGGTTTATGGATCCCGTGGCAGTAGGGGCTTGTTCGTGCAGGTCGACAACCCAAAGGTGGTACCATTTTTGGATGGACCCGCGTTTTCGGAGCTTAGCAACAAAAGTAACTTTAATTGTTCTTCGTGTACAGCAGCGCCCATGTTGCAACTCTGGGCGGGTTGGTTGGGTTCCCAGTGAGACTCCAGGTGTGCGATGATCAAAACTCTTATGACAGAATTTGAATATATAATTAGCTGGAAAGGTATGGTTTTCCCGACCCTGCGGTATCGTTTTCCAAGGACAATCACACAATACATCACGTTAACCGTAGAAACAACAGCCTCTTGCTTCTTCGCTTCACTACTAATGATGCTGTCGCTCCTTCCACCCGGAAGTCTTAGGCATCTAGGCCAGGGTCTATCAAAGCAGATTTCGCACAGGTTTTGGTATCATTTTAGGTCTTGTTTTAGTCCCAAGTGTTGCTTCACTCCAGCATATGAATTTTTTGAACACCACAGAACAATATGTTCTTCATATCAAAAGAGCACAAACCTAATCTCAGTCCATACCGCGTACTTCATGGCTTGGAAACAGGCCGCAGCGAGCAATCAATCGAGATGCACATGCAAATCCACTAAAACAAGTATCGGTTTTAATGTGCCGGTATCGTCTTCCATAGTGTGTCTAAAATATCTGAACGAATTCCATATGTATCTTATTCTTATGTATATAGATGTGAACCGATTGATAGTTGCTCAGCTCTCTGTTAGTGGAACAAAGCTTCTTTTACCTCTTGAGCAGGAAACCAACAATTCCCTCATTTGTATCAGCAAAATCACTGTTGGCATCGTTTCTGGGGCATTGATATAATGCTCTCCTGTACCAGACTGGATCAATAAAGAGGTCCCCGAGCAGCTGGAGGTTTGCTGGTGCTTGAATCAACACATTTGGAACATGAACTCGTGACAAAAGGGCCCGGGCTTGTAGTATAGTATTAGTATAAATAGTATAGAGGAGAGGTGACTGAGCAGTCAAAACTTATGTCTTGACCGGTCAACAGCCTCTCGTTTTTTGGCTGCTTTTGGGGCTCACAGTCTCACCTTGCTACATTCTACAGTAAGGGCTTTGTAGCATCAATGTCACATGTCAACCTTCCTGGATCATGTTTCTTGACATCTGGTTCTTGTTTTGTGATCGTTCTGGTTGTTTATCGGCCCGCACCTAACTGATTCATCTGATTCAGGGAAATTCATCTTCCCAGCCTTTTCGTGTTTCTTCTCTGGGTACCCCAACGAAGCCAAGCTGGTTCAAGGCTGCATCATCAGCTTCGATCTGGAATTCAATGGCCCAGTCCTCGACTATGGTACCCACGTGTACCCAATGAGTCGGCCCAGTGTGAGTGATCCAATGTAATTCTTCATAACCTATCTATATACGACAACACAAATGGATCAAATGGATCAATCAAAAATCACCTGTCAGACAGGGCAAGGATAAAAATCAAGAGCAGGATCGATTCGATTTGAGGTACAAATATGCAACATTATGCAACAAATTATGCCTCAACGACCCACGAGTTGGTGAGTCCTCGGGGTGCAGGGACATCCTCAGGTGCCTCTACTCCCCAGAACTTTGACGCAAGCCCCGGGCACAGACTAAAGCCCCAATCTAGGCCACCATTTGGGCATAAAGAACCAAGAGTTGCAACTGAATCAGCTGCTTTGGCATTGCCCAAACATGTTTGAACGATTTCCACTACTGAGATTTGCTAGAGCATCTTCAAAAAGTAATTTCTACTTGGACCCGTTTTACTTTATGTATCTTTATACGGAGCCCTCTGGTGTAGGACCTCGGATTTCAAAAAACAAAAAATCCACCCACCAGCTCCGCCCCTTCCCTTCCATTCACATCCCTCACACCGTCCTTCCGTTGGCCTTGTGCGGCCCGGACCACGGCAGCGAAGTCCATCTTTCGGCCCTGTTGCCTGGGCGGTCCGCCGGCTCCGCACCGGCCCAACAGGTTTGGGCGTCCAATGTTCATGCCGGTTGGAAGTGCTGTAACGTGCTATGCCGAAAGTTCATGAAAATTTGTGCATTTTTCAGGTCCCCCCTTTGAACTCAGCCAAAAGCATCCAAAAGCCTTTGTGATCCCCGAGTTTAGGACCTCCCCCAAACTTGGCCGGTGTGATTTGAGGTCCAACCTGTATACTGTATACGGAATCTCATGACATTCCAGTGTATCGTCTGACCCAAGGGACAGGGGGTTCTCCGGGAAGGTGTCATTCGAATCATTTTCATAGCAGTATCATCGGTATCACAACATGATCACAACATGACCATCAGTATCACAACATGAGCACCGGTATCACAACATGATCATCGGCTTCATAACATGATCATCGGTTTCATAACATGATCATCGGTTTCAGAACATGATCATCGGTTTCAGAACATGATCATCGGCTTCATAACATGATCAATGGTTTCACAACATTGACATCGGATGACAGTGTGATGACATTGGGGTGGGGGGTGGGGGGTGGGGAAATAGGGCAGCACCTATCAGCCTCATAGCGTCATCGTCGGTATCATAACAGCGTCGCCGGTATCGTAACGTATCATAACATGATCGTCGGTGTCACATCAACAAGATCGTCGGTTTCATAACATGTTTCATGGATGCACTGGACCTCTTTCGCTCAAAAGCGAATGGCCTCCGTGCACTGCCCCAATGTTTCCAACAGGCGTTGTGGTCGCTGTGAAAAAGACACGAATCACGCGAGTCACCTCGGACCTCATCTAGGAAACTCTCAGAACACACTGCATGTAACAGTGTAAAATGCACCAACTCCTGTTTTTCATGGCGAAACAAATGGTTTCGAGCACATGGGCATGCTTCTTTCGCGCATACCCAATACCCAAGAATGAAAAAAACGTCTACAAGCAGTTTGCATCCATGCCTCACATAAATTTCATCATTGAGAGCCTTTGCAAAGACTCGACATGCGCGAACATAAGTGAAATTTGTTCGTGCAAGTTGATGCCAAAGACAACCATTCAAACATCTGTGCAACCTTTTCACCAGTGGTCCTGCGAACATACACCATCCAAGCTGAGCACAACCAATTGAACCCTTCGGAGAACCTCCCGTCCCTACCGTCCTCTGAGGTGTTTCTTTGTGGCACCACACCCAGCTCTCGACAAGTCCACTCCCTCCACCGGTCCGAGAGGCCATCTCTGACGCAAACGTCTGAAGCCCCGTTGCAGGATCTTGGTGCTCTCCACCACGGCCTGCTTCCTGGCACACCAGGAGCTGCGTGCGGCATCCGTGCGTCAGGGAATGGACTGGGTTGAGGTGGTTGAGTACCACAGGTTCAGAAAAGGAATGGACAGCCTCAAAAAAGCTAGTCAGTGCATGAACAGAAACTCAAGAAAGCTGTGGGGCCTTGTGCGTATCCCACAGTGAACTGAGCAAACAGTTTGTGGAGGCATCAAGTCAGACCTAATTATCAATGATATCATCTATAGTTGAACATGGGACATGACCCTTAAGTGCACGTATACCACACTTGTCTGCATCTTGTAGCAAGTTTTTACTTTGAGGGTCGAGGTACAACAGGCGAACCTGATCCCCGCGTGATTCACCTGTACGATCAAGATCCTGAGCCTCAGACCGCCGTCGGGCCAGTTTACCTCGAGCACACGCCTGCTGTCAGGATGCTGTGAATTAACACATCGACGGGATTGAACCAATTAACATTTGACGGTTACCCAGGAAATTTATGAAGATGACAAATTATAGTATATTATTGTCCAAACATGTCAAAAATGGGTGAACTTGACTATGTTGAACTCAACATATTTAGACATCTTGTTGCCCTCAGGACCTCAGGAATCAAATCAATCTTAAAAATAGAAGCTGCCCCCATGTTGTTGTTTCGTTCTGGGTCACCCTCTACACACTCTACTGGTCTGAAAGATTCGTGGATGTTGCTACTCTGGGGATGCTGTAAACATCCAATGTTTAAGTACTTGAGAGAGGAGGGGGTGAACGAAAGGTAGCAGGCAATCACAAGTAACCCTGGTAGAAGTCCACGACGGCGTGAACCGGCGCAGGGGGGATTTGATCCAGGGGGGGGGTGAAAGAGTGACTAGGGCGTACACGGTAGAGGTGCAGACCGCTAGTGTCTTTTATGCGCAGAGTCTTATCCTCTTGCTCTTTGAGCCTTGAAGCAGTCAAGCATGGACACACTATATCAGCTGTTGGAGTGGAACCCTGTACAGGTAGGCTCTACTTTTCAGCAGGCACAAGATTCATGTCCACTTCTAGCTGATTGCGTATGTCGCATACTCTTTTTCTACTGCAAGGCTAAAACAGTCCAGCTAGCTCTGACAACTTAAAAGAAAACTACGGTGCCATGTACTTACCTAATCCAGTGTGTTTCACACTTTGGAGAAGGTAATCTCATAGCTACTAAATACAGTGAGGGAGCAATAGCTGACTCACCTCAAGTACAAAATCAAATCGATAATGTACCTCGGCTGGAGACTGTACTTTTCGCAGGCGGAGATACCATGTACCGGCGCTCACTAGCTCTTTAGGGCCTGAGCTAAATCAAACTAAAAGGGAAAGCGGCTTTTTCTCTACAGAGACCTATAAAAGAATCAAACGACACTCGCGTAACCAAGAACTAAAAATTCAAGACCGCGCAAATGCAATTAATTAAGATGCCTTGCAAAATGCAAGGAGCGTACGGTTCGAGGAATAATCTTCTCGTGACGTGGTCTCGACCGCTTTCATTCACAAACAAAATAAACTGCATCAAAAGGACTCTCTTTCACATTCACATCAAAAACACAAGAAGGAGATACCGGCAAATGTATGTACAAAAAATCTTGCACTACAATTGCAAATCATGAAATGACTTAATCATCAACCATGACTGGTTGTCCATTAGAGGTCATCTCAGAAAAGCGACTGTGATAGATATCATCAGTTATGCAAAACTGTCCATACCTATCTACATGCTAAAGCGTATAAACCTGGAATGCAGGAGCATCTTCTTTGATAAAAAGTTTCTCCTGGTTGCAAACCAGAATTTATTAAAACTTCAGCCTGGCAACTTAAAGTCAAGCCTGGAAGCAAAGTATCAACTGTAACCAGAAGTATCTTCACTTCCTAGCCATCATTTAAATTTCAGCCTTCGCTCAGGAATTATGCCGCTGCAGACGATGAAGCTGCTTGATCAGAAGTTGGCGGCCTTCCTTTCCTTCTATTCTGCTTTTGTCTCTCCTTCCTCCGCAAGTTCGCCTCATGAAGCGTTGGTCCCATGCGATACTGTCTTCTGTCTCCAGATGAAAAGGAAGCTGGTCTGAGTGAAATAAACATTGGACCATGACTGTCCTCGTCAGTGGGCCTTGAGCACATAACCTCTGTGTCAATCATAGCAAAGTTCTCTGAAAAATTACAGATGAACTCCTTCGTGCTCACTGTGGAATTTTCATATTCCTCTTCACTCATTGAATGACCCCATTCAACAATGGTAGACAAACATGTATCGCCAAGCTGTGATCCTTGGTATTCTTCTTTTTCAACAGTAGAATATTCTTCCCAGAGTTTATCAAAGTAAACTTCACACTTCTTGAGGACCTGTGAAGTTGAACTGTAAAATGTTCTGGGAATAGGTGCTTTGATACCAGGATCTGCTTTTACACGAGCTTCTGAAAACCTGCGGATCCAATGCTGCATGGTGCTATAATAATAGTTAGCCATTGGCTGCCTTTTGTACCCAGACATTCTGTAGGCCAAACTATTTGCATCACCAGAAATGATGTCCACCTCATAGACAAAACACTCGTAAAGCATCAATGCTGTCTGTTCTCCTGTCAGTAGGTGGGCATCCACAGCACGGTGTGTATCAACATGATAATTACAGACTCTGATGGTATGCATGTTCGCTCGAGTAAGTGGAACACGCTTGTCCTCAGGACCATAGTCATCAAATTCAAAGTCTGCATCCTTGAAATCTTGACGAGGCCTTGTTTCTCCAAAACAAATCTCGTAGATAGCCCAAGTTACATCACGCTGTTCACAGTGACCAAGGTCTTGGTCATGTCCAGCAATGATCTTGACATATCCACCTGGTGCCAATCTAGCCATCACTGCAAGATTCTCCCAATCATTGAAACAAACTGTCCAATTCTTTTGCTCAATAAATTCCTTGGCAGGAACAAGAAGATGAGCTTCCTGGAGAATCACGACATGTGCACGTAAGAAGAAGAGCATGTTGAAGAAAAGGTTGTTCTCAAATTGCTCATTCTGAAGTGACATGGCGCTCTGTTTGCGTGGCCTCATTGCACTATCAAGTCCTTGGAGAAACCTTGGTGTGGTGTACTTCTGACCACGAACCATGTTGCCATAGTTCCAGGATAAAAATGTCAAGGACTCTGAGCTGGCCAATAAGTTAGTTCCATATGGTTCTTCTATTCTTCCTTTGAGGAACCTTCTGCACAGCTCTTCATAGAAGGTGACAAAGTCCCAACTGGGTCCCTTGGGACCATATGATTCCAGTTCCTTCTTGAGTTCCTTTTTCGTATCCTCCAATTCTTCTCGAGCATGTCCTGCCCTTTCAAGGGCCTTTGGATCGACCTGATACTTGCCATCCAAATAAATGATGCGATCATCATTGATGAAGAATCTCTTCAAATCATGCTCTGGTTCATGTTCATAACAATCAGGTGGAGGTACTGGACAGATATTGCGAATGGATCGAACAAAATCATTCTCGTTGATCCTTGACTGATAATGAGGATGGGAAATCTCACCTTTTCTGAAACAAACATGATTCAGCAATCTTGCGTGAGTTTCCCTGAAGCATAGTTGATAAAGGCCAATACCTGGATCTCCTGTAAGCTCTCCAAGCAACTTCAAGGGTGAAGTATGCAACTCATAGGTATTGTCAGCTTTTGTTGTATCCTTTTCAACAACTACTTCAGATGGAAAAGATTCTTGGATTTCAGCCTCCAATTTCTTCTCTCCATCATCCTCTCTGACCTCCTTTATCTTCTCCACCGCCTCTTTCTTCTCTTCCATGGTTGCATCATCCTGAACTTCTTCATGAAAATGAGGATCAGGAATCTTATTCAGGCGGCTTTTCTTAGATTTCCGCTGACCTGAATTATCATCAAGGTTTGCATCCATCTCACCTGATGGTAAGTGCGATGCAGTCGAGTCCTCACCTATCTCTCTTGACAGAAAGTGTGGTGTTGACTCTTCCTTGGCTTCCTCCTGGTCAACTTCCATCTTTAGTTCCTCTGAAGGAAAAACACCTGCATCTTCGTCAAATATTTCTTGTTCCTTCCCAGGTTCAACTGCAGGATCTTCTTCAGGAACTTCCTCTTCCATATCCTCATCTTCCAGAAGTGTCATACTTCCAGTATAAACTTCACCAGCGATAGTGGAGACTCTTGTATAAGGAGGAACTTCTTCACCTGCTTCAAAAGCTTGTTCTGCAACATCCCTGTTGAGCAAGTCCTCTACAAGATTTTCTCCCTCGGTTCTTGGAAGAGGTCCTGAGGTCTCATAAAAATCTGTCCTCTCTGAACTGAAAGCTTCTGTCGCCTTCTCATTGTCCTTTTGATCCCTGAACAGGTGAGTAATCTTCACAGCTTCTCCCTGTAGCACCTGATCACTTTCTCTGTACTTGTTGACAATGGAGCGCCATACTGGAACATCATCATCATCAAAATCAAGCTCCATATCATCTGCCAACAGGTATGAGATGTTTTGAGCTGCCTGTTCTTCTTCTTCATCACGTTCTTTGGCAGGCTCCTCATCCTTCTGGATCTTGAAGATACCCTTCAGGATGTCTTGTAGTACCTTTAAGTTCAGCTTCGATGATGGCTCATACGTCCCTGAACTTACAGGCTCAACTACAACACGAGAGCAAGAAATCGCCTCCAAAAACTTGGAATTGTATTGGCGTTCAAACTCTTCCTTCTTGATCATCTCATACAAGGGATCAGAAACTGCAACACGCGCCTGAACATACTCACGAAGTTGATAGCATGCATGTTGCACAAATCTACTGTTGGAGTTGTGAAGAAAACTCTCTAAATGATTCCTGTCACGGTCAATCAAATACCACACAATCCTTGCAGAAAAACGGAATTTCTTGAAGTTCATGGCAAAATGTGTATGATACTTCTCTGGATTCCTTTCTGCTTGTAAGGCGGCCTCTGAAGTCTTGTAAGCTGGGAGATTTGTGTCTGGATCCAAAATCATAAACTCTTCCCACAAGATCGAGTGGTCAAGAACCCACTTGGGAAGCACCTTGATGAAAAAGTCACAAACAAGTTCTGACACAAGGTGCATGACACGACCAATCTCTTCCTCCTGCTTGAAGCGATAGTGCAGTTTGGCAAATAAGGGATTGTTGAATGCTTCCTCCACTGTATTGCCAAAATTATCCCACTGAGGTTCTGGAATACCAAAGTTCCAACCCAGCAATTTGGGATCTCTGCACATATCCAAGAAGCTTGAAAGCTCTACAGAAGCAATGCCATGGCCTGTCAGAATTTCAGCCCAGCGGCGTCCATTCTCCCAAGCACGGATGAAGAAAAACTGTTGGTATCCAGTTTGTGCCAACTCCATCCACTGAGAAATTCCGGGTTCAAAACTCGGTGCATACGTCTTGGGGTCTTCCTCTGTTCCATAAACACTTGGACGTAGCAACTTGTATCTTCTACAAAAATATTCTCTCTGGTGCCTTGTCAACCTGTCCCAATCCCTCACAAGGATCACGTCTTCTCCAGTGCTCTGGAGTACACGTGTTCCTACACGATCATGGAGTGATACCATGCCAATGTCATATACCATCCATGGGTTGAGAACCAGGTTGTTGACATTCTGAATGAACCATGTCATCTCACGCTCAGCAACATGAGCAGAGTCATCTTCTTCATCTTGTTGAGGTTCTCCAGAAGTCCTGGCTGTTGAGCTCTTCGAAGTGATGTCCGTCCAAATGTGATCAAAACGAAGCACTTCCTCATCAGCCTTCACCAGTTTTGCCTGATCCTTGCTCAAAACTAATGGGTGAACCATAAACAAGGACCTTGAGGTAACACCATCTCCATCGACAATCAACTTTGGAGTACTATAGCCTAAGATACTCCAAGGATCACGATCATCAATCTCTTTAGGTGGAATCAAAGACCATCCTTGAAGAAAATGGCCTTCTGACATCGACTGACGTGACCTCAATCGTGACCGATTGTACTCACGTTCAGGATGATTCTCATATTGGACAAAACGGGCGATGGCACCTAAATCCAAATTGTCCAACCACAAGAGCATATGCCTCCTGACTTGTTTTGTCTCAGGCTCCTCGGCATGAATTCTCCTGAGGAGTTCTCTGGCATATGGCTTGTCAATAGATAGTCTGGTGAACAATGCTCGTACTCTCTCTTGTTGCACCTTCTCACTATTGATGAGCTCCATCATCTCCTCTGCGGACTTAGGATTTCTCAACTCCTTAGCTGGCTCTGGAGCATCTCGTGGTTGTGGTTCATCCACACTAATGTCCAAGTATTCGGGCTCCACATCACAATGTGCAAGCACCACTCCATTGTTGCTGAAGTACAGAGGACGTCCAGCCCGAAGCCAAAGAATCACATTAAGCTTCACATACAAAGGCTGTCCATAATCTCTTGGAACCACTGTACCTGGGCCTAAAGGAATGTAAAGTGAAGTTTGTGGATTGCTGTACATAAAATGAACATAATCTCTTCCTTCACCTCTGTTCCTTCTATTCCAACTTTGAGGGTCTCTCATCAAACCATACCTCTCAATGCTGGCCCAGTTCTCCCTTCTGGTAACATGAAAAACATGTCCCAAACATCTTGCCTCAATAGAAGTCAATCTATGATTCAACTTCTCTGGACTGATGTTTTGCATGAGTCCTGTATGCCCTTGGTTCACTCCCAAACGCATGGAAAAGGGCATATCGTATTGATTGCCTGTGTTGTACCAAACATTCTTGTCCAAGCGAATCACCAGATGAAATCTTTGCTTCTCATCGCTATGCAATATAGCAAAGAAGGAATTAGGATAAATACGAAAAGGTGATGGCATTCGAGCAGTTCCCTCTGTGATCAGAGGCATAAGCTCTATCACTGCCCTACTGTCCATCAACCTGTCGAGAGAACGATCATGTCGTAGCATATAGTTGAGCCCCGTGGCTATCTTCCCATAATCGTTTTGTCTCCACGCGACTCTTGTTGCCACGAACTGCCTATTTCTCTCATATTCATCCTCTTGGGTGACATAGCCAAGAGCGTATCTGGCAATCTCTGCGAACCACCGTACTCGAAAATTGAACTTATCATGGTTCTCAGGTGCCAAACACATTGCAAGAATGTCGGTTAAGATCAATTCATCCTGCTCTGAGTTCCTATGGAACTCAACTGGTGTACGTGGGCGTCTCAAACGGTTTGCCCAGTTCTGAGGTTGTCCCCAAGGAACCTTTTGTGACCAGTTTCGAGCATACTCAAAGATGTTGACCATATTGGACGCTCCCTGACCGGTCATCTCTGTTGATACAAAGTACACCGGTCAGAGGCCAGTGTCCTAAGTTGTAGAAATGACAGGTAGTCAACGATGCAAGGCAATAGTCTTCGAAAGAAAGGTGCTGATCTTGCCAAGCTAATTTGAGCCGCAGGCACAAATTCATTAAAGAATTTCAAATTTCTCTCAAACAAAAACACATGCATTGAATTCTCTCCTCTCACTCTCAGTGCAAAGAATCTCCAAGATAAAACACATCATGTGAAAAGTCAACATGTGTGCATACTGTAGGAAGCCATCCACGCAAATATGCCTTGTGTTCAATAAGAGATCTAAAGGGTGGATGTGCATCAACTTCCTTCAAACAACCGCTGCGTACTGCATCTATCAAAGCTTGTGGACTAGCAGACTTCTTAGCAAGACAGTCAGCACGACACCACTGAGTGCGTATATGTGACAAGTCAGCAATTGCACCAGAGCATGCTTCCTTCCTAAGCATTTGGATCATATGAATAGTCTCCTGTTGCTCAGGAACATGAGTAGTACTAGCTGTAGTCACAAGATTGTTAGCATCAGTGCGCATGTGAATGTCAGTAGAGTAGCCTGTAATGTCTTTGATCAAGCCTCTAAGCATTTGGCAAGTGCCATAACACTTCATGAATGCATACAACTCGGCAACAGTTGTGGACAGGGTTGTTCTCTTGATCTTGGAAGATTCAAAGAAAATAAGTGAGCCTTTAGTGTTCTTCTGTTTTGCCTTCCTTTGCTCACCCATAAAAATAACCATCGCACGTTGAGAGGATTTGTCACTGTTGTTCCTGAATGCGGCATCTGGCATAGCAATTAACCGTGGACTACCTTCCAGTGGCCAAAAACGTAACTCCATAGGGTCAGTCACGATTTGTTTGCACAGCTTGTTCAGGGCCTTGCAATCACCTATTGTAGGTCCTGCTGATGCTGATGCTGACCTCGGGAATTGGTAGCAAGCTTGGAATTGTGTTCTGGATTGTAACCAGTTTATGCTGCCAAGAAGATCTGAAGGCTGTGTGCATGTCCTTGTCACACTTATCCTCATCCTTCAAACCTTTTGGAATGATAATCTCAGTCAATTCTTGAACACAAAGTGATTGCTCTACAGAGATGTACTCCTTCTTCTTGGTCTTCTCTTGCATCTTCCAAGCAACACGTTGTCCAGTAAACATCAGGTCATTAGTGTCCTCATGTCCAATCTTAAACTGTGACTTCACAATATCCTTGAACTGTTTCAAAAAGATATCGTTACCAGTCACAAAAAGATCATCAACATGTAAACAACACATACCAATGGGTGACCTATTCTTAGAATTACTGCCATGCACAGGGTCCATAAAATGCTCAAGCAACTCTTCCACTACTTCAGGTGTAAGCTGAGGCGTTTGTGTCACAGTATACGTATGTTCTGCAGGAAGAAAAAGACTGACAAGTGTTTCAGCTTCTTCCTCTAACGTCACTGCATTCTTCTCGTTTCTGATATCCTTGTTTGTCTCGAGAAGCCACCAAACACCCTTACGCTTAACTATTGAAGTCCGAAAACAAAAGCGCGAACGCGAATACGTAGGTTCGGGAGTGCGAAGAGCTTTAGCGCGATAAGCGACTTGAGCATGGCCATTTGCATATTGGTGCCAACCTGCCTTGTGCTCTACAGAGTCAAGGAAATTCTGGAGTTCCTGATCTACCACAGGAGTCCATTTTCCATCCTCTGCCTTAAGCAGGCTACGCGTCACCGTCTTCTCCGACCTATTTCCGTAACACACCGAAAACAGACGTTCTTCACAGAGAAAAGACCTACGAACTTCCTCCGCTGTGTCGTGGAATTCGTTTGGCGGCGCACCTGCTACGTAGAAGGATACCGGTTCCGGTTCGGCTGGCATCTCCTCTGATGAGTAGTTCACAGCCTTAGGAACCCTCAAACATCCGGAGTAGCAAACGTACGTGCACCGATCGGCTCGAGTCGGAACTAATCCGAGTGAGTGCAAAAACTTGTCGAGTCGATTCCACCAGCGACGAGGCGCATCACTCAATCCGTACACTGAACGGGTGCACAATCCGACGAGATACGGAGGCAATCCGATGTCGGTCGGAAGTTGAACGTGAATAACGCGTCGCTCGAGGTCGTAAAGTTCCCCCTGAAGAAAGGCAGTTTTCAAGTCGATGTGCAACAGGTCCCAAAAAGAAGAGGCTGCATGCTGACATGCTACGCGAAAACCATACCTGGTCGCGGTTGGCGAATCCGTCTGGAGGTCCCATTTCTGGGCATCTTGGAAGCCTCGACAGACCCATCTGGCCTTAAACTTCTTAAAGTTACCATCTTTGTCAATCTTGATGGTCAGGACCCATCGACCAGTAACATAGTTATCGATCTTATGCTTTCTTCGGTCTCGATACTTCATCGCAGTAAAGTCTAAAAAGCTGCGAAACTCCTCTAGTTTAGCTTGCTTGATCTCCTTGGCATACTTCCGGAGCACTTCCGGAGTAATCACACTCTCTGCCTTTGGTGTCTTCTTAGCCATTGTCTTCGCAAGATACTGGCAGAACTGTGAAAAACCTTTCGGATCATACGAGTTAAAACTCGGAGGAGCTTGGTTCGGACCTAGGACACAAAAATCCATATCGTCAAAACTAACAAAAAGATTTTTCTCATCGTCCAGATCCTTGTCTGGATCCTTCTCAAAACCTTTCACATCTTCTTCATCAAAAATAGGTTCTGAATCTGTTTCATTTGTATCAATCGTCTCATTGTCATCGTCTTCGACTGTGCTCGTAGGCACGGGGATGTCGGCTGCTTGTGGCTGAATCGAACTTGATGCTGTCGGATTCTCCGAATGTCCAGGAAAGAAACTTCTTGGCACTGACTTCGGAGGTGCCGGAATAGGTTCGTCATGTCCCGGCAACTGAACCTTAGAACGTTTAACCTGAAACTTCACCTTCGCCTTTGGCAAAGCATCAGTTGAGTCCACAGAAAGCTTCCGCATGTGCTTACTGTGACGTTCACGATTCTCCGGAACATATGGTTCTGGCTCCGGCGTGTTCGAATCTGGCGACGGAACGAACGGATGAACGGGATCCGTGTCACTCGGAAACCCTATTGGTGGTTGGCCCGGATCATCTGGCGGACGGGATTCACTCGTAATCTCCGGCATTGCCTCTTCCGGATCGCTTGATGGATATCCGAGTTGCTCCAAAGGAACATCGGGATTTCCGAACTGATTCGGACCAGCTACGGAACCTGTCGGAGGTGGTCCCGGAGGTTGTCCACCCTGGTGATCATCAGGGTTGCCACCCGGTCCATCACCAGGCGGATACATATCTTCATCATCTGGATCAAAATACTGCTGTTCCCCCGAGACGGGAATCGGCTCATAAGCCATATCATCATCCATCGGTGGTCCGTAGTCTGGAGGTTGATCCTGTGGATCCTCTAGAGCTACTTCATCAGGAGTCACAATGCGCTTCACGGCGCCTGTCGTCTCTGCTTCGTAAACTATCATACTCCAATGATCTACCAAAAACTGTTCATAATGAGGAGACAGTTGTGACACAAACATAAAGAAAACCTGATGGTATTTTCCTGGCTTCCACATAATCAACACTGCATCATCCTCAGAGTTGAAGAGAGGATGCACTCTACCAAAAGTACCACGATAGACCTTACATCTCTCAAAATACATCTGTGGCAAGGTTCTTCGTCTAATCTCCTTCAGGCCTGGAATCAATGACACAATTCGAGAATCAGAGGATGTTGTCACATCAAACTCTGATCTATGAGGTAGTGCATCTACCTGCCTCAAGGTTCTGATCAGTTCAGTAGTAGTGAACCTTTGTGGTAGTATGTGTCGAAGTGGAACCGGAATCTCCGTCGTCTCTTCCGTTCTTACGGAATTCAGCAAAATTGACTGATGAGCTTCTCTCTCTAACAAGAGAGCTGTTCCACACAAACTTCCAGAGTCATAGTTCTCCAGAAGATCTTCAATAAGGAAACTCTGACGCTTGTCGGAAGTCTCACTATAAGGAAGAAAACGATTCATCTCAACCAAAAACGAGAACGGAAACTTCTTCCAGTCAGGATCCTTGAAGTACTGGTTGCTTCTAGTGGCTTGCACTGTTTTAGCTTGAAATGAACAGTCACCAATACCTTTCCATCCTTGGCAGGATGCATAGGAATGGAA